AAATTTTGTATTAATTAGATGTATATTTAAACGTGAATGAAGTTAATATAAATTGTAGTTTTTGAATTTAAGCTCTTTAATGAAAATAAAATTTATTAAAAGAATTTAGGAAAAAGATACATTTTTATATAATAACGATATTTGCGTTTGTCGTAGGTCGGTAAATGAATGATTTAGTGACGTTTGTAGCATTAAACGTCACTATAAGTAGCAGCGCTCTTACCAACAAATGTCACTTGTTAAGTGAAATTTTTCTCATAAAAACGTCACTAAAGTAACATCATTTTTCTCATAAAAATGTCACTGAATTAGTGGTGAATAAAGATACCAATGCTGCTAATATAGAGGCGTTTTCAGATTCAAATGCCTCTAAAGTAGTAGTGTTTTCAGTTACAAATGCCACCAAAGCAACGGTGTTTTTCCTCATAAATGCCACTAATTTAACGGTGTCTCAAAGATAAAAATGCCTCTAAATTGACTGCGTTTCAGATATAAACGCCGCAAATATTAATGCATTTTTTTGAAAACATCGCTATTTATCACGATGCTTGAATAGCCAGCACTCTGCGTGACATTGTTCATAAACACCGTAAATCTTTTTGTGACGTTTATAAATGCCATTAAACGTTAAAAAAAATACCACTAAAAACCAAAACCTCTGTAGTGATGCATGACTATCTTTTCTATATAAAGTTAGTCTTATACTCATTCTGTCCAATTTTTTTTTGTCCAATTTTTTTTGGTTCAATTTTTCTTTTTAGGATGTCTCAAAATTATATCTTTTTTTAATATTTAAAACTCTTACTTTTTATTTTTTAAAATTATTTTTTATGATTTTTTTAATTTTTAATATTAAAAATCATGAAACTTTAATTTAAAAAAATTAATTTTAATATTAAATACATTAAAGTCAAAGTTTTTTTTTTTTTTTTAAACACAGCAAAAGTAAATATAAGACAAACAAATAGGGATGGAAGGAGTATTAGTTTTGTCTTTCAAGAGCGTGTTTATATAACTTTAAATATTATTTCCAAAATACCTTCAAATTATCTTTACGTGATTATGTATGTTGCTTTATTTTTTATTTTTATAATATTTTTAATTATTATTGTTTTTTAACAGTAACAATGCAAGGAAAACTATTTATGTTTATTTTCATCATATATTTATCTTATAATTGAAAATTTCGTTAAATAGAGTTATACTAATCAATCTTTATGGTTTTGTTTTTTCAAATTTAAGTCTAACCATTGTAAAAGATTATTCTAAAATTAAGTTAGTACTAATTATTATGCTTAGTTAAAATAATGAATTTTTTTTAATAAAAATTTCAGCCTATATATCTATATACTAGTTCTTGGATAATTAAAGTTTGGATTGCAAATTTATTACAAAATGACGGACCAAATATATAGGACATAAACCCCAATCTAAGGGCTTATTGGTTGGCCTCAAATTAACGGCGGCTTACATACAAATTGGATTCTTTCGTGATGAATTAGGAAACCGACCTAATTCAACAAGTTTATATACATATTTGTGCACAGTGTCTTCCCACCAATTGATATTTCAATTTGCAAATTTCTTTCGTCTTTGATTATGATAAAGGCTAATATGTCAGTTTTTCAAATTCAATAGTCTGACTATTAACTATTATCATGATTGTGTGCCATGTTACCTTAATCTTTATGCCAATTTCTTCTTTGGAAATAGTAAATTGATTTTTTTTCAAGTATGCATTGTTTTTGTAAATAAGTCTCAATATACTTATCATTGTTGTCTATAACATGTTCATGTAATAAATTGCCTAGCAACTATGCATGTCTTGTTCGCTTATTTTACACAATTTTAGTTATTCATTTCTTACCACATAAATTTGATGCACTTATATAAAAAGTAGATCTTTGTGTAGACACCCAATTGGGTCCGGCCCAGATCAATTGGGCCTGGCCCAAATGGGTAAGCCCAATTCAATTTTATTTTGTATTTTTTTTTCTTCTTCTTTTGTATTTTATGTATTGTATTATTTATTATTATTATTATGTATTAATTTATTTTTTGTGTATTTTATTATTTATGTATTATTACTAATATGTATATATATATATTTATCTTTTTTATCTTATTCATTTTTGTATTTTTACTTATCTAATTATATATCTGATATATTTTTTTATTATTATTTTATTATCCTATAATATCTGTTAATTTATCTTCTTTAATTATCTAGTTTTTTTTTTTATTTTGATTTTTATTTTGGAGGGCTAGGATTGAAAGTTGAAGAATCCCACTGGGAGTGGGAATTCAATCAGAAGAGTCCAGACTGGATTCAAAGATTGAATTCCCGTCCAAAGGGGAATTGGGATTGATCAGAAACTCCTGATCAATCCCTATATAAAGCACCTCCTGGAACAGAATGAAAACACAGAAAACAGTAAGCAAAGCTACTGATTTGAGAGAAAAGGAGGCGTATAGGAAGCTAGGAAAAGCTTAGGAGTCTTCTGGGAGTGAGAAAAAATTTTTTAGAAATTTTTGGCGAAAAATATTTCTGGAAATTTCTGGGAAATTTCCAGATTCCGGTGAAAATTTCGGCGAAATTTGAATTTTCTGGCAACAATTCCAACGAACATTGAAGTTCCGGCGACCTACCCAGTTTCCGGCGAAGAATCCCAGAAACCGATGATCTTCCGGCCAACTTCCGGCGAAATTTCCAGATTTCGACGATATTTTCCAGAATCCGGCACCGGTGTTCTTCAGTTTTTAGAGAGAAGGGAGAGGAAAAGGGACGAAGAGAAAGAGAGGGAAAAGCATTCTGTCGAAAAAACGAAGGGGATTGCCTTTTATACCCTCCCAAAAACGATGTCGTTTTTGGCTTTAAGGAGAATCAGAGGATCCGCGCATTTGCCGAAACCCAACCCGACCCGAGGCGTCGACCCGAGTTCTGACCCGCGCGTGCCTGCCCCCGCCGAGCCGAGCCGAGCCGCGTCAAGCCACCAAGCCCGCTCCCCCCGAGCCGTTTCTCTTCCTTTGAGCCGAGCCGAAGCCGAGCCGGACCGCGATCCGAGCCGCTCCGGTTTTTTTTTTTTCTTTTCTTTGAATCTTTTTTATTGTTTATTTATTTATTTTTATATTAGGTTTATTTAATAGTTCTTTTTTATCTTAGCTTTATTTTTATTTTTTTTACTTTTCTTTATTTTTTATTATTTATTATATTTTTTATTATTGCTTTTGCTTTCAAATAAAAATCAAAATTTTCCAAAAAAAAAATATTTTTAGGGAAAAGTTGAAAGTATCCATTTTCCTTAAGATCAAAGTTTCAAAAAAAATAATTTTGAGGAAAAGTTGAAAGTATCAATTTTCCTTAAAAATAAATTTTCAAAAAAAAAGATTTTTGAGGAAAAGTTGAAAGTATCAATTTTCCTTAAAAATCAAAGTTTCAAAAAAAATATTTTTGAGGAAAAGTTGAAAGTATCAATTTTCCTTGAAAATCAAAATTTCAAAAAAATTATTTTTGGGGAAAAGTTGAAAGTATCAATTTTCCTTAGAAATAAATTTTCAAAAAAAAGGTTTTTGAGGAAAAGTTGAAAGTATCAATTTTCCCTACAAAAAAAAAATCATTCTTTCCTTCCTTTCTATCTTAATTTTGATTTTTTTTTTTTCTTTAAATAATCCGATGACGGAGCCTCTGCAAGTGAAACAGTAGTTTTTCTTGCATACTCTTGAGGTGAGGGAATTTTCTCAATTTTCTGCTAAAAGTATTAGAGTCGATTGAGAAAAATTTTCAACAATTAATTACTTGGTAAAATTTTAAGGTTTTTTGGATAACACAAATTTAACCTGGTACCATCTTTTGATGGGCGTTGTGAGGGTGCTATAACCTTCCTCACACGTAACCGAACTCCCGAACCCTGTTCTGGTTTGTAGACCTGAACCTATTCTTTTAGGGACCCTTAAGCTTAGGTGTTCCCTGAAAGAATAGATTCCTTAGGTGGCCAATCGCACCTAGATAAAAAAGATTGGTGGCGACTCCCTTATAAGTCAATGTCTAGCGATAGATCCCCGGATCTAGACGTTATGACACTTTGTATAAAAGTTTCGCGTACAATATTTGATCTATTGAAAAAATCTCTTCATGTTTATTTTTTGTTAAACTTTCTTCTTTTTATTCTTTGGCATGCATGTCTTTTTGGTCTAGATGAACGGAAATTATCTTGTGTTTTAACAAACTGGTACATATGAGTAGCAAATTCTAAATACATTGTCATGTTCCAATTTCTCTTGGTAGGTACTCCTTTCATTTGAACATGACAATTGAAATAAACAAAGAACAATGTTTTTCATTAATGCTTGACTATCTTTTCTAGAAAAAGTTAGTCTTATACTTCCTCTGTCCAATTTTCTTTGTTCATTTTTCCTTTTTAGGATGTTTCAAAATTATATCTTATTTCCTTTTTTGAACATTTAAAATTCTTAAATTTTTATATTTTAAAATTATCTTTATGATTTATTTTAATTTTTAACGTTAAAAATCATGAAATTATAATTTTTAAAAATAAATTTTAATCTTAATATTAAATACATTAAACTCAAACTTTTTTTTAAACTCCGCAAAAGTCAATATAAAACAAACAAATAGGGATGGAAGGAGTATTAGTTTTGTCTTTTAAGAGCATGTTTATATAGCTTTAAATATTATTTCCAAAATACCTTCAAATTATCTTTACGTGGTTATGTATGTGGCTTTAATTTTTTTTAATATTGTTAATTGTTATTGTTGTTGAACAATAGCAAGGAAAACTATTTATGTTTATTTTCATCATTTATTCATCTTATAATTGAAAATTTCGTTAAACAGAGTTATACTAATAAATCTTTATTTTTTTTTTTCAAATTTAAGTCTAACCATTGTCAAAAGAATTCTAAAATTAAGTTAGTAATAATTATTATGCTTAGTTAAAATATTGATTTTTTTTAATAAAAATTTCAGCCTATATATCCATAAACTACTTCCTGGATAATTAAAGTTTGGGTTGTAAATTCATTATAAAATGACGGACCAAATATATAGGACATAAACCCGAATCATAGGGCTTATTGGTTGGGCTCAAATTAACGGCGGCTTACATGCAAATTGGAATTCTTCCGTGATGAATAAGGAAACCGACCTAATTCAACAAGTTTATATAAAACGTACGTAACCTTATACCACCATCGATTAACTAGTCGTTTAAGTTCAGAGAAGAAGAAAGAAAAGTATAGAATGGAGGTGAAAGGAGTGAAGCTTAAGGTCCTTGGGAGGGGAGCATATGGTGTGGTACATTTGGTGGAAACGACTTCTCCTTGTTCTGGGTTGTTTGCTGTAAAATCTGCACCTTTAACAAAGTCTTTTTCTCTTTCCAAGGAATGGGAAATATTTAAAAAGTTTATAGGTTGCCCAAATATTGTTCAATGTTTTGGTGGTTTCACGAGTTTTGAACGAGATGGAGGGTATTTTTATAACTTATTTCTTGAATATGCATCTGGCGGTAGTCTCTTGGATTTGACGAACAAGTATGGGGGCAAAATACCCGAATGTGATGTGAAGGATTATGCAAGAATGATTCTTGAAGGGCTTGTTGACATTCACAACAGAGGATACATCCATTCTGATCTTAAACCAGAAAATATTTTGGTTTTTCCATCTCAGACCGGTTCCGATTTGAATACTTTAAAGATTGCGGATTTTGGGTTAGCTAGACAATGTGGGGAAAAAGATATTCCACAACTTTGGGAATATGGCTTTCGAGGCACAGCAGATTATATGTCACCTGAATCTGTGATGGGAGAAATCAGTGGTGCATTGGATGTATGGTCACTCGGTTGCATTATTGTTGAGATGATTAGTGGGAAAATGCCATGGAACTATAGCAACCTGAAAGATTTGAGAAACAAGCTTTTGAATGGAGAATCACCCAAAATCCCAGAAAACATGTCAAGTATTGGGAAGGATTTCTTAGCAAAGTGTTTTGCTAGGGATCCCAAGCAACGATGGATGGCTAATATGCTGTTAAGCCACTCTTTTCTTATGCCAGAGTTCAGCTTTTTTTCGTATGGAAGCAATCTCCCACAACTCTTCTCAGCCCTTTCTTCAACAATTTTTGACGAGGACAAATCGTTAATCCAATCCACAAAGAGTTTCCAAAAGGATGACAAATTCGGACCAGAAGAAGATTTGGTTGAAAACTTAAGGTTGCAAGTAATGAAGATGGGCGTCTAGGAATATGGTGCAAATTGAAGAATTCAAAGGCATAATCAACATGCAGATGAAACCTGAAAAAGCCACCCTCTTCCTCTTGGTTATGTTGCAACCAACATGTTATCAAAGTAGACCTGATGTTTGCTTTTAGGCTTTGTCTTGGATTAATATTTTCAAACTTTTTATTATTGTATTATGTTCTTTTAACAGTTTAAGCTTATAAATGTTCTTGACATATAGTGTATATTTTCTATATGTCCATGGCCATCCGCTTTCATTAAAGTTTATTTATTGTTAACTACTTTTTCTATCAAATTGAGTAATTAACGGCCTAATGGGCAGCGGTACTGCATGTTAAACCTTTTGTTCAAAAATCTTTTTTTATTAATAATATATAAGTAAATAAATGTATATAATTTTTATTTAATTTTAATTATAAAAATATATTTTAAAATGTTAGTAATTAATACCTTAATAATAAACATAAAATAAACTGATTTGGATGAGCCAAGCTCAAGTCCAATTACACCAAGTTTTAAAGGTGTTAATTGAATCACTCGAGCTATGAAAACTTTTAGTTAAATGTTAATTTCTTAATTTAATCAAACAAATAAAATATATAGTATATTGAAATTGGATATTTAGAAATCTTTCAATCACCGTACCATGCATACTTGCATAGACCATGAACCTAATTAATCGATGATATGTTCCAATGTTTCATATGCTTTACGTACGCACATTTGATGGTTATAAAAGATGTTTTATTGGCCAGTGATGGATATAAAAAATAAATCAAGTTTTTTATGAAATAAAAATCTGTAACATTTTTATATTTATAATTACAATTAAATTCTCTAGGCATTTGTTATGGTAATCCTCATTCGAGATTCTTTTTCATCTCTGACCGAAATTGTTTTCTTTTTATCTGAAGGTAATGAAGTTGGCTGAGGGTCTGATAAATTTCACAAATTCGATCTTTCTTCCTAAGCTAGCACATAATAGAATATGCTGTAATATTAGAAAAAGGGGAGGGTGATTTTTTTTTTTCCTGCTGAAGCTTGAAAAAAATAAGCTCTTACTGCTTTCAATGGAGTCACTTTAATTCGTTGCTCTCCTCACTCGCTACCTCAAGCAACTAGTGTGCGAAGATCAGTTTAAGATGGTTTGAATTTTTTTTTTTTGTTGGTTCTCTAATTTTATGAATTTTTTTTATTGTACTTAATTTGGATTTGAATGGATTTTCTACTAGACCCAATGTTGCAAAAAGATGAAAAACCATCGGTATTTGTCACTGAACGTAGTCGAGTAGTCCTAGTAATTCTCTTCCCGCAGAGGAAAAAAAAGAAAAAGAAAAAAGGAGAGCTTAGTCAATTGACAGGCTGCAGTCGCTTTATATAAAATTAATAACCACTCTTGGGATCAGATAAATCTTTTTAAATTTTAAATTTATTCAACTGATGCTTCTATAATTTATTTATATTTGTGTATGTCATAATTTATAAGCCTATAAATTTATTATTAAACATAATTTTAAAAGTCACCATTAATATTTTTTATTTAGGAATGATTGGTTTCTTAATTGAATTTATTCATTTTAAAAACAAATCCTAAGCTTGACTCATTTTTTAAAAAAGAAAAGATTTTAATTAATAAAACCAAAATTGAGTTTGAAGTACAATTACATGTAGGATAGGTATATTTCGTATTATCCAAAATTAGCCACTTACTAAACGGCCTTTCTAAAAGTAGTATAAGTTGATTTTGTATTATCTAAAACTTAAAAATTCTTACTAGATAATCAAATTAGTGGATAATTATTCTCAAATATTCCAATATATGAATAATAATTTTAAACAATATCTTCCTCACCTTGAGAATATTCAAAGAAGGACATATTTGTCATGTTTGAAAGACTCCATCTTTCAAATTCATTAATATATTATAAAAAAACTTTTATTATATGACAATGAGATTATCTGTGAATCGTTAATATTAAAAATCTTTTCAAAATTCTTTCATATTATTGATAAAATTTAAAAAGAATTTTCTTACCTATGGAATTTACCATAACAATTGTTATTTACAAGCGTTCTTTGTTAATTCTATCATGAAAATCAAAATTCAATTTTCATAAAATAAATCACTCATTTAATTATTTATTTTTATAAATATTTTTAATATATTGGTAAGATTTTTGTCAAAAAGTTTCCTACAATATAGTGGGTAGGATTCATGAAAATTATATTTTTTCTTTGAACCATATGTTTTTTAAAATTAATAAATTTTTTAATATGTTGGTAAAATCTTATTTTAAAATTTTTTTTTTCAAAATCATAAACTGTTAAATATGTTGGTAAGGCTTTTACCTCTTAAAATTTATTACTAAAATTTTAACCTTCCAATATGTCAATATTGTTTTACTTACCAAAATCAATGTTTTAAAATTTTAACCTTTTAATATCTTAATACTATTTTATTTTTCCTTAAAAATTATATTTTTTTAAAAAATTATCCCTTTTTTTAAAAGACATGTTTTGTTAAATAGGATAAATATCTAAATAAAATAAATAAATAAATTTGAAAAAATGAAAAAAAAAACATATATAAAAGATATTTAAAACTTTGACTCAACTATGAAAAGCGTCTTTGCTCGACTCTAAAGGCATAATACGGCTTGGCAACTTGGAACGACAACTCAACTTAATAGTAGCTACTGGGAAACGGGTTTTCCAGGTCGAGTCACCTTACAGGTTAGGTCAACACAGCAAGCTGCACATGGGTTCGCAGCAAATTAATTCCTCAAAATGAAGTTATATTGACTAAGTATAAAAAGCAATAATTTTTTTTTCTTTCAGATTTTCTTTTCCCTCTCTTTCTGGTTTTGTTCTATCCAACTTCTCTCTGACATTTAGAAAAATACAAGAATATCGATGCTAGAATCTACAATCTCTTGCTAAAAATTGGGAAATCTCGTAAAAAAAAACTTGTTGAAAAATTAAACTCTGCCTAAAAACTCATTGGAAAATTCAACATTTGTCAGAAAACTCATAAAAAAATTTAACCTCCACTAAAAAATTATGCCAAAAATTGGGTTTTTCATTGGAAATTTCAAAAATTTCAAAAAACAATTCCAAAACTTGTAGACACTCCTTATTTGAGCAATTTTAACCACCTAAGATATTTGTCCTCATATCTTTCCCTCATATTAAACCAACACAAACTCCAACGTGCTAATCTAAAAATTGAAACACGTCTATTCAACTTGAATTGCCACTATTTTTTCTTATTTCTACTATCATGCTTGTGTATTTGTTGTTTATTGTTGCTAAGTATTTATAAAGGAAAATAACAAGAACTTTTGATCATCTAGGATTCAATTTTTAAAATTTTGCATTGTCACAAAAAAAATAAAACTACAATTCATCTTTAAGAATCCCAACTCAAATCCAACTTTGGTATAGCATGAATTATCACCCAAATAAATAAAAGTTCCTTCTATTTCCGTTAGTCTCATCATTGAACCTCTTCTTTTAATTCCTAATTATTTTTTATGGATAATCAAATAATTAAAGATAAAGAATAGGATAAATAAAATAAAAGATAAATAAAGATAAATAGGCAAATAAATAATAGGATAAATTAAGGTAAAAAATAATAATAGTAAAGATATATACAAAAATAATAATAAATACAAAAGATTAAATAAAGAAATGGATAAACTAAAAATAAATATCCAAAATTTGACAATTGAGCTTAAAGCTAATCTAAGCACAATCTATTTGGTTTTGAGACAAAATGAAGTGTCTATGTTGTGAAATACTACATGGTTTAAGTGTAAGTTGTTTAATGCAAAATTTGCCATAATAGTTTTTTGGGGACCACTAAACGAATATTTTAAAATTTTCAAAACAGGGACAATCGTAACTAATCTTTCTTTACTAAGTGTGATTGGCAATCCAAAAAAAAATTTCTTCCTAATAAAATTTTAAAATTAATTAAACTTATTAAAAAGATAATTTTTTGTTTTATTTGTGAAAACAAACTTTAGTTCAAAAGTTCAGTTACCCATGGGGAAAAATTAACAACCCTACAGCTTCCGTTAAAAAATGATGCCAATTAGTCACATGTTATCCTTTAATATTGATAAAAATTATCTTAATCTTAATATTTAAAATAATTCCCTTAATTTCATCTATTTTTGTAAAATATTCTTTTTTATTTTTTTTTAAAAACATTTTATTTAGGAATACAATGAAAATCTTTAGCTTTGAAACATTTACTAAATTCCCTAATATTTAGGTAAAATTTCAAAAATATTTCTCAACTTAAAACCACCATAATAATTCTCAAAATATGGCATAATATTCTTTTATAAAGAATAATTATGGAAAAGCCCTCCAATATATAGGTAGGGTCCTAAAAAATATTTTTTTACTTAGGACTATTCATTTTTATTTCTAAAAAAATAATTTTCAAAATCACCATTTATTACCATATATTTCTTTGGATAATAACTAAATGCAAGTAATGTAGTACATGCAAATAAGTGATGCAAACATAAATTAAAAGATACAAATACAAATACAAATTTAAAGATGCAATGATCAACTGAATTTATCCTATAACCCTTTAATTTTATCCCTTTTATTTCTTCATCTTTATTCGTTTGTTTTTAAGAACATTTAGTGATAAAAGAAATTTTATTTATATTATTTTATGTTAGATAATCTTCTCTGATTTTCCAATATCTAAGCAAAATTTAAGAAATTCAATTCTTCGTTTAAGAAATTTTTATAATCAAATTTTGAATTTATCCCTTTTAAAAATAAATCCTAATCTTGACTCATTTTTTAAAAAACAATAGATTCTAATCAACGAAACTAAAATTGAGTTCGAAAGTATGGTTACATAGAGAATATGTATATTTCATATTATCTAAAATTGGCCTCTTACAATGCCCTTCCAAAAGTAGTACCAGTTAATTTTATATTATCTAAAACTTTAAAATCTTACTAGATAATCAATTAGTGGATATTATCCTCAAATTACTCCAATACATTAGTAAAATTTTAGAACATTTTCTCACCTTGAAAATATTCAAGAAGACTATTTATCATGTTTGAAAGGACTTTATCATCAAATTCATTAATATATTGTAGAAAACTTTTATTTATGACAAGTGAGATTTTTGTGAATCTTGATATTGAAAATCTTTTCAA